TAGAGTTAGGAGCCATAGCTAGGTAAGTCCTAGCTAGGCAAGAGAAGTTTAGGCAAAAGAAGAAGAGGGGGTTCACTAGAAAGCAGCAGGATACATATAGGAAACCCTAAGGGGTTGTACTCGCTATAGAGTACCCCACTGCAGGCTAGAGAACAATGACATTCTGACACACCCCCATAGCCAAAGTGGGGTGTAATCAGCAGAGCAAGCAAAGCAGAACAAGCTCAGGGTGGATCACAATGTCACCACACATTCTCAGCACAAGTACAAGAAGCAATAGTTTAAAGTTCACAATTATGAGCAAAGCTAGAGGCTATCGCAGAGGGCAAGTGAGGAGGAGGAGGCGAGAGAGAGGAGAGGAGATAGGAGGCGACGGCTGAAGCTGCAGACACACGGGCAACAGGAGTCACACTGGCACAGCGGCTACCGGAACAACGCTCCGGACTACTGGAGTAACTGGCTCCGCGGCTAAAAGTAGCGGCAGACGAGCAACGGACCCACGGGCGACTGGCACAGCTGGCTGCGACTGGGCTACCGGAGCAACTCCCCGGACTACAGGTGCTGCTGGCGACACGACGGCAACCTCAGTTCAACCTCCCCAAATAGTCCCACTCCCCCTGACACACACCCCCTGCTTCACCCCTAGCTCCACTCCCCCTTCACCCCCCTTAGTACCACTCCGACGGCTCCAACAGGTCCACCCCCCTCAGCGGCAGCTGCAGCACTGGGAGACGGAGGAGGAGGAGGAGCAGGGGACGGCACACAGAAGCTGCACCCCTAGACCCCCCACCCCCAAACCCTAATTCAGGAGAACGGGCAGCAGCAGGGGTGGGGCGCCATCAGAAGCACGGGGGACAGCGGGCAGCGCAGGGGCAGCGAAGAACGGGCCGCCCACGGGCCTGGCACAGCCGCCCAAACCGCGCGCAGGCGGCCCGAGCCGCGCGCGGGCCTGGCGCAGCCCGTACGGGCCGCGCGCGGGCCTGGCGCAGCCCGTACGGGCCGCGCGCAGGCTGTACGAGCCGCGCGCAGGCCACGACGGGCGACGGGGGGCGACGCGCGGGTCCCCGTCGCCCGTCGCAGCGCCTCCCGGGAGCGACGCGCGGAGTGACGGGGCAGAAACCCGCCGCGCGCCTCGGGGCGCACGGCGGGCAGACAACCGCCGCGCGCCTCGGGGCGCACGGCGGGCAGAAAACCGCCGCGCGCCTCGGGGCGCACGGCGGGCAGAAAACCGCCGCACGCTCCGAGCGCGCGGCGGGATGAAAAATCCGTCGCACGCCACGGGGCGTGCGACACAGAGAGTGGCAGTAGCAGCGGAAGCAGTGAGGTGGTGAGCCCACCCACAGGATCGACCCAAGGGGATCGACCTGCTCTGATAGCATGTGAAAATAGTAGGTAGAGTTAGGAGCCATAGCTAGGTAAGTCCTAGCTAGGCAAGAGAAGTTTAGGCAAAAGAAGAAGAGGGGGTTCACTAGAAAGCAGCAGGATACATATAGGAAACCCTAAGGGGTTGTACTCGCTATAGAGTACCCCACTGCAGGCTAGAGAACAATGACATTCTGACAGACCTGCCACACACACATGAGAGGCGGTGGAAAGGCATGCACGGGTAAATATCTCATTAACACGATTCATTTACGCTAAAAACAGTTAATAGCAAGAGGCATAACAGCGTACCTGCCGTCGCTGGAACTTGAGGTTCAGTGCGTTGAGTTCCTTCAACACATCAGCCAAGAAAAACAGCATGAAATGGAATTTCAAACTGGTTACAAGGAGGTACGCCTTCGGGTCATTCTCGTACAACAGTATGACAGCAGCTGAAAGGTTGTTAGCCAGTCGCTGCACCGCCAGACCACGTGAAAGCCACCTGACGCTGTGGATGCCCTGCAACTCCAGGTTAGTTTCACGCAGCACCTCCTGCAGCTCTTTGAAGCGTAGGTGGAAGTTGCCCGACCGTCCAAGGAGCTCCGCTAAGGAACGGACGACATGGTCGACGATGTCAAGGTCGGGGTAGGCCTCTGCTGCATCCTTTGCGGCCAAAGCTTCCCTGACACAACACGGAAAAGCAACAAGTTAGATACATATGCAACGATTAAAAGGTAAGCATAACATCACAGGGTTACAAACATGTGCGCGATGCAGTGGAATCCGGCGAGGTGTGGAATCCGCCCACGAAGGCGTGCCACCAGGCCCGTCTGAGAACCGACCACGACGCTTGCACCATCAGTGCTGATGCCACTGATGCGCTCAAGGTCGAGGCCGGTAGACTCCAGGTGGGTTAGAAGGACTGCCTGCAGGGAACCAGCATCGCACTGCTCAACTGTTGGGTGCGCGAAAAATTCAGTGACGGGAGTGTTGCTGCGGAGGAACGACAAGTAGACTATCAGGTGCTTCCCGCGCCGACGGTCCGTGCTCTCGTCCAATTGAATGCCCAGGTAAGGACTCTCTCGGATGTGCTTCATCTGTTGAGCATGGAGGTAGATGACAAGCGTCTCAACCAACTGCGCAAATCCGTACCTGTAACGACCAGAGACAAGGTAATTAGTACCGTGGTTTTCAACTAAACCCTAAACCCGCAAAAAAAAAAAACACTTCGCTGTAGTAGGTGCCGGAATCCTTCAGGGGCATGTCGGGCGTGCCCATCTCTGCCATGAACTGGTCCAGGGTCACAAACAGCACAATGGGTGAGTCGCTTCTGCAAATAAAAATAACTGTTGCCAGGAGTTTTGTCAAACGCTTGGCTTCCCCGTCACCGTTCTCGAAGTCGACAATCGACTTCTGAGCAGCATTCTTGCCGTCACGTGGCTGTTGGCGGTCCACTGACGCCTCATGCTTGATGGAATGCTGATGTTTCCGCATCGTCTGTCGTTGAATGTCCAGCCCACCCTCTCCATCGCGGCCGTACTGGTAGCTGGGATCCCCGTGCACCATGCAGATTGAACACCTCATGCAGGGTTGACCCCATGAAGTCTCCGAGATGATGAGCCACGGGAAGTGCTTTAGCCATTTCTCGTTAGCCTTCTGCTGCCATTGCTCGACGGTCAAGGCGCGCGGATACTTGTCGTCGTCGTTGGCGGCGACGGGTTGTGACGGGCCCGGGCGAGTTGTGCTAAAGCGGGGGACGGTTGCTGGCGGGACACCTGCAGTGGGACGGGCAAAGCTCAGAATTCGCTGTTTGTATTTGCCGGTCCCTGCTCTAATGCGAGAAACAGAAATCGCCGGTAGAGTTGTGGCCACAGATGCCGAAACGGGCGGCGGCGAGGACTCAGCTTCAGCCGGGTTAGGCTGGGTCGCAGTCTCAGTAGCGTCTGACGTAGATTGCGAGGGGATAAGCGGCTCGTCGTTGCAGGATGTGATGACGTTGGGGGAAGGAATTACAGGCGGAGGCGTCTCGACTGCGGCAGTGGTGGTCACAGGAATTGCTGCCGGAGCTTTACGGGTTAGGAAATCTAACGCAGAAACCCGTGGCTCGTCAGGTACCCCGGGTGGATCACGCCTAGCGCTGTCGGTTGACTCGAGGGCGCCATATAGCATGGTGTGAGGTGGTGTATCACCTCACATGAGGCAGTAGCAAGAAAGGAATTCTAGACGGTACGCGGGAACAAGCTACGGGACGATAGGTATGCTTCGGGCTAGGCGTCAAAGATTGAAAGGTAAAGGCAGGTTGTCAAAGAAAGGCTTGGAGAAGAAAGGAAGGGAAGGGACCATCACCTAACGAACCGCGCCGCGCCTCTCTCACGAGGGTTTCACGAAGGTGTGTGCATGCTTTGTTTTGATGTGCACCGACTGTCCTTGCACTCTGCCAGCGAGGTGAGGGGCAACAGCCTGGCAGCGGCGCCGACAACAGCTACCCGACAGATGCGTGGCAGCAACTGAGTCAGATGCAGAATGCGCTGGCAGGAAGAATCCGAAATTCACCCCTGTGCCCTCACGCAAAAATCATTACGCGTGCCTTCACATGCAACACCTCGCTGCTCCGCTGGCCAACTGGGCCATTTTGTCTCATTAAGACGAAACAATACGCGATTTCTGCTGGATCAGATGAATTGCTATAAGTTTCCTGAAAAAAACATATGACGTTATAGCATTTGTCTTGGCTCTCATATGGCCCATAAGCTAAAGTCTGCCACAGCATATGAACGATACATTTCGCGCCTGAAACCTAGACCAGCAGACTAAATTAGTCTGCTAACGAGAGCCCTGAGCACTACACGACATGCGACAGCAGGAAGGTGAACCAGAAGTCGGGCAGGCAGTTGTCAGAAGCAGTGCATGGGCAGTGCATGGGCAGTGCATGGGCAGTGCATGGGCAGTGCATGGGCAGTGCATAGTGCTCGTTGAGGCATGACATGCCATGCCCACCCCTGTGCCCAACTTGCACCCACACACGTCTGCCTGCTTGTCCCCGTCCACAGCGGTACCACTATGTGTTGCCTGACGTCATGCTCCGTGCATGCATACAGCGGTGCTCCCTGGGCCTTGGCTCGTTGGATGTGCTTCACGCGTGTGCTAGCAGTGGGTTGCATGCGCGTCCTGTGGGCAATGCTGAGAGGCACCATTGATGGTGTCACCCTGTGCCTGCTGCTGCCAGTGCAGCCATTCGGGTGAGCACACGTGGTGGCATTTGCATGCCAACGATGCGGCCAACCAGGGAGAGCCAGCTCAGCATGTAGAGCTCGAGTGCCAGAAAGTGGTGGTGTGATGCTGCAGTGGTGGTGGCGACAGGTGCACCGACCGCTGCTGGCCTTGCACTCGCCTCACTGGTAGCCCCATCTGCACCACTTGCTGCAGCGGCCGCACCACCAGCAGCACCACCCCTAGCAGTAGCAGGAGCAGTAGCAGTAGCATTTGCAGTAGCAGTAGCAGTAGCAGTAGCAGGAGCAGTAGCAGTAGCATTTGCAGTAGCAGTAGCAGTAGCAGGAGCAGTAGCAGTAGCATTTGCAGTAGCAGTAGCAGTAGCAGTAGCACTATCACAAGCAGCACTGCCTGCAGCAGCAGCAGCATCAGCTGTAGCAGCAGCGTGCAGCAGGAGCGCCATGGCAGCGGGAGTGTTGCAGGGGTGAAGGGCCATGCAGGGCCGGCCCAGGAAGGGATGCTCCTGGCAGCACGGAGAGGGTGGCATGGGGAGGGTGGCATGGGGAGGGTGGCATGGGGAGGGTGGCATGGGGAGGGTGGCATGGGGAGGGTGGCATGGGGAGGGTGGCATGGGGAGGGTGGCATGGGGAGGGTGGCATAGGGAGGGTGGCATGGGGAGGGTGGCATGGGGAAGGTGGCATGGGGAGGGTGGCATGGGGAGGGTGGCATGGGGAGGGCAGCATGGGGAGGGCAGCCCACAGTGCACAGTGCAATGGAAGTGCAGTGAGGGCAATCACGTGGCAGATCAAAGCCTTGGAGATGGGCAGCGAGCAACGCAGTGCGTCCAACAATGAGGAGTGAATGAGCGAGGAGAGGCGAAGGGAAGGCATGCATGCAGTGCAGCACAGCTTCGAGTGCGGGCCACAGCCAATGGTCCATGCATGGTGCTTGGGGCACGGCAAGTCATGGCAGGTGCGGGTTGGTGGTGAGAGCATGAGCGATGGAACTTGTGGGTGGGGGCGTACCAGGGGCGTGAGCAGGTGCCAGGTGTCCAGAGAGGGGTCATGTGCAGTGGGCGGAAGAGCGGCGGAGGGCAGGGGTGAGGGCAGCAAGGGGTGGTCGGGGAGGCGAGGCAGGAAGGCAAAGAGGTCCTGCCAGGGCAGGGGGCGGCCGTCTGGTGGGGGGTAGAGGGGGCGGGGGTTGGGGCGTGGGAAGGGATGAATGTGGTTTACAGTGGACAGGGAGCTGAGGGCAGCAGAGGAAGAGGGCAGCAGAGGAAGTGGGCAGCAGAGGAAGTGGGCAGCAGAGGAAGTGGGCAGCAGAGGAAGTGGGCAGCAGAGGGGCACATGGAAAAGGAGAGTGGGCGCAGTCAGAGGTGCGTTTGAGATGCGAGAGAGGCCAACTTGGTTGCACCTGCTGGGCCCATGGTGGAGAGGTGCCGTGAGGGCAGAGTATGGCATGGCATGGCATGGCATGGCATGGCATGGCATGGCGAAGCATGGCATGGGTGGCACACCTGGGCAGCATGGCAGGAGCAGCAGTTGTGGCACGGAGAAGACAGCATCAAACACCACGTGGCAATGCACCAATGCCACCGTGTCACTTGATGCCACGTCACTCAAAGCCACGTCCCATGAATGCTGAACACTCCTCGTTCCACATGCTGCTTTGCCAGACACCCGGCTCTCATCTCTCAACACAGCGTCCAGTTCTCTTGGTCCCGCTGTGTGCCGTTCTGCCTGTGCTGTTGCTGGCAAGGGTGCATGCAGCCGTGACTGTAATGGGGTTGACGCCTCTGCAACTACTGCTGCTCCTGCACCTGCTCCTGGCGGCGCTGTGTTGTGGCGGGGATGTGCGCAGCAGTGCAGAGTGGCAGGGTCGTGCGCCTCCTCGCCACTCAAGTCAACCGCATCAACCCAGTCAACCGGGTCAACCGGGTCAACCGGGAGAGTGAAGAGAAGAGGTGGGTGGTGGTGAGCAGTGCACGCAGCAGGCAGCGCGTCGTGGCTTCTCGCTTCCTCCTTGCAGCCGCCATCGCAGCAGCACCCCTGCTGCTGGCTGTGCTGCTGGGTGTGGTGGTGGGGAGTGCGTGTGCGGTGCAGCAGCAGCGGGTGGAGCGTGGTGAGGTAGCCGCCTGGCACAGGGCGGTAGGTGGGTGGGAGGGAGGGAGGGAGGGAGGGAGGGAGGGAGGGAGGGAGGGAGGGAGGGAGGGAGGGAGGGAGGGAGGGAGGGTGGATGAGACGACAGGGTGAGGCGGGGAGATGCGATGGCAGTGGCACGTGAGAGGTTGAAAGGGAGGGATGCGTCTGGGGAAAGGGACGGAGTGGGCAGGGAGGGTGAGCTTAGGGAAGTTGATGACCATGATCCTCTCTCCCGAGGTGTGCTCGGCGAAAGAGCGAAACACACGGAATGGAAGGGGAGAGAAGGGGAATGGGGGTCTGTGGGGACGGGTAGCAGGAGCGATGGAGCAGGGAGGTGTGACCGAGCATGAGCATGAGCATGAGCATGAGCATGAGCATGTGACGTGGCATCAAGGAGCCACAAAGCCAAGGGGCTCCTGCGCGTCTCATGCATTCATGTCGCCCCACCATTCGCTCACTCGAGGCGCGCTCACCTCCCACTGCCAGAGACGACGCCCGCGCCGCAACCCACTGCCATATCACGCCCTCCGCGCGCCCCTCACAGCGAGCGCACTCCACTCCCTGCCGTTCGCCCACCGCGTCTGCCGCCGCATTCCGCGCTATCGCGGAACCACCCCCTCCACTTTGCGCCGCTGCCCACGCTGCCTTTTCGCTCTCCGCTCGTCCACTCCGCCGCGCGTCTGCCGCCGCGGGGGAGCTGCGAGTCGCCTCGCCAATCGACTGCGCGTCTTCCGCCGCGTTCCACGCTGCTGCGAGTCTGGCCGCGGCGAGCGGGAAATCGGCGGCGCTGATTCGCCCAGCGCGGAGCGCCGCGGCCATGCTTGCGACGCGAGGCGACTCTCACGTGGAGAGCATTGATGAAGGCGGCGTGCGAACCTGCTCGCACGCTTCCCCCACGCTGCACAATCGGCGCGTTGCGGAAGATGCCTTAAGGCGGTTCGGTATGCGGTTTGGTAATCGCCAATCAACCAGGAAAATCGAACCCAGGGTACGTGCGGACTTGGCGTGACGGACGCAGATTAGGGTTGCATATCCACCACATGCTACCACGAAGAATAGAGCAGCTCATTGGAAATGCTGAGTTTGAGGGAGGTAATCTCGCCGCGAACTGCCGTCTCGCGTAGGAGGCGTCGAGTGCGGTGCGCGCCCGCACTGATAAAAGCCATCGCTAGCTGAAACGCGTATCCACGCATCTAGGTCGATTACTCGGTCATTTCACGAAATCATCACCTCTACTTTCGCTAGCTTTAGCACTGAATCTACTGCCAGGAGGCTTGCTGCTGATCGACCGTTCGTTCGTTTCTTAGCGTCTTAAAGCCCGACGAGCCCAGCCGCACGAGGAGTGGCACGCCCCAGGTACATTGAATTCCGGCAACGAGGCCCACAACATTCGACCACTTTGCACGCGCCGCAGCGAGGCCTATCGTAGCCGTTGCGAGCATCGCGCGCTCGTTCCATCGACGTCGCCCCTGGAGCAGCGCAGCAGCGCCGGGCAGTCTTGTCGCGGCGCTGCAGCGCGCAGCACGCAGCGCACTGCGCTGGTGGCAGGTGGAAGGCGCGCACGGCTGGAAGGGCGGATGCGCGGAGGCGACTGTGGCGGATGGGGGGAACCGATTGGTGGGGGCGGGCTCAGGAGTGCTGATGCGCGGAACGAGCGGCGGGGACTGGACGTGGGGGAGGGGAGAGGTGCAACGGGGGCGAGTGTGAGGAGCGAAGTGGGGGGCGACAGGGAAGGCGCGGGGTATAGGTGCGCGGAGGAGGTGCGGCGAGCGGTGGAGGCGCTGTGGCGCCACTCGCAGCTCCTCTCCTCCCTGTGCGCCCCTCTCCTTGCGCCCTCCGCCCAGCTCCCCGCTCTTTGTCATTACCCGCCACCTTCTTCTCTCACGAACCACACACTGACTGTCACCATACCAATCCCAGTCACCGCCCCACAAAGCCACCCATCACTCACCCTCACTCCCATTATTTGATTTTCTCGTGTGCCTGCCCGAATCCGGTCCCCTCGCCCCCACCAGCCTGCACAAGGGCCAGTGCTTGCCGCCAGCAGCGGCAGCAGCGGCGCCAGGCGCACAGCAGGCGAGCAATAGGGCTGCCACAGCACCGTGGGCACCACTCCGCCCCGCCGGGCCGGCACCCAAACCCACCGCGCTTGCAGCGGCAGAATCGGCAGCAGAAGCAGGCGCGCGGGCAGAAGCAGCAGTGAGGGCAGATGCGCAGGCGGTGTGGGCGCGAGCAGGCGAGCAGGTGGGCGGCGAGGTGCAACGGCTCATGGCGCCGCTCACCCGCCTGCTGCTCGCCCTGCAGGGGACTGGGGGGACTGCGGGTGTGGGAGGTGGGGACGAGGAGCGGTGGGAGGGTGGCGGCGGCAGAGAGGCAGGAAGTGACGGCGGGTGGGGGAGCGCAGCGGAAGGGTGTGGGGGTGAGGACGCAGGGAAGGGCGGTGAGACAAGTGGGAGCGAGCGAGGGGGGGGGTGGGTGGAGCGAGTGGAGGCGCTGCGAGTGGTGAGGGCGCGGGGCAGGGCGGTGAGGAAGAAGCGATGGCGGGCGACGAGGCGAGCACAGCAGACAGTGGCATGGCAGCAGGTGAGCAGCAGCAGGTAGAGCAGAAAAGGAGAACAAGCTGTGCTTCTTTCCCCCTTTCCCCGCTTGCTCCCCTCATGCTCTCGCCCCCACTCACTTTCCAACTCTACCATAACCACCGCCCCCCCACGACCCCCACCCCCCCCTCATGCTCTCTGACCAGTGGCCCTGTGCATGGGTGGGAAGCAGGCAGAGGTTTGCCGAGACTAAGCTCTGCTTCTCTCCCCTCTCCCACTTCCTCTTCTGCTGCCATCCCCACTTACTCCTTTCCTAACCTACACCCCACCCCCCCCCCTCCCCACCACTCGCTCTCTCCAACACCCCCTTTCCCCCCTCCCCCTCTTCCCCCCTTGTCTGATGGGTGGGCCCTATGCGGGCATGTGGGCGAGCGGAGTGCCGTGGGAGGGGCAGAGGGAGGAGCAGCGGGGGGTGGTGGAGGCGAGGATAGATGCGTGGCGGGCGCGGGTGATGGAGAGAGATGCTCAGGAGAGTATGGTGAGTGGCGCATGGTGAGTGGAGCATGGTGAGTGGCGCATGGTGAGTGGAGCATGGTGAGTGGCGCATGGTGAGTGGAGCATGGTGAGTGGCGCATGGTGAGTGGAGCATGGTGAGTGGCGCATGGTGAGTGGAGCATGGTGAGTGGCGCATGGTGAGTGGAGCATGGTGAGTGGAGCATGGTGAGTGGAGCATGGTGAGTGGAGCATGGTGAGTGGAGCATGGTGAGTGGAGCATGGTGAGTGGAGCATGGTGAGTGGAGCATGGTGAGTGGAGCATGGTGAGTGGCGCATGGTGAGTGGAGCATGGTGAGTGGAGCATGGTGAGTGGAGCATGGTGAGTGGAGCATGGTGAGTGGAGCATGGTGAGTGGAGCATGGTGAGTGGAGCATGGTGAGTGGAGCATGGTGAGTGGAGCATGGTGAGTGTAGCATGGTGAGTGGAGCATGGTGAGTGGAGCAGGGTGAGTGGAGCATGGTGAGTGGAGCATGGTGGGTGCAGCATGGTGAGTGGAGCATGGTGAGTGGAGCATGGTGAGTGGAGCATGGTGAGTGGAGCATGGTGAGTGGAGCATGGTGAGTGGAGCATGGTAGGTGGAGCATGGTGAGTGGAGCATGGTGAGTGGAGCAGGGTGAGTGGAGCATGGTGAGTGGAGCATGGTGGGTGGAGCATGGTGATTGGAGCATGGTGAGTGGAGCATGGTGAGTGGAGCATGGTGAGTGGAGCATGGTGAGTGGAGCATGGTGAGTGGAGCATGGTGAGTGGAGCATGGTGAGTGGAGCATGGTGATTGGAGCATGGTGAGTGGAGCATGGTGAGTGGAGCATGGTGAGTGGAGCATGGTGAGTGGAGCATGGTGAGTGGCGCATGGTGAGTGGAGCATGGTGAGTGGAGCATGGTGAGTGGAGCATGGTGAGTGGAGCATGGTGAGTGGAGCATGGTGAGTGGAGCATGGTGAGTGGAGCATGGTGAGTGGAGCATGGTGAGTGGAGCATGGTGAGTGGAGCATGGTGAGTGGAGCATGGTGAGTGGAGCATGGTGAGTGGAGCATGGTGAGTGGCGCATGGTGAGTGGCGCATGGTGAGTGGAGCATGGTGAGTGGAGCATGGTGAGTGGAGCATGGTGAGTGGAGCATGGTGAGTGGCGCATGGTGAGTGGAGCATGGTGAGTGGAGCATGGTGAGTGGAGCATGGTGAGTGGAGCATGGTGAGTGGGGCATGGTGAGTGGAGCATGGTGAGTGGAGCATGGTGAGTGGAGCATGGTGAGTGGGGCATGGTGAGTGGAGCATGGTGAGTGGAGCATGGTGAGTGGAGCATGGTGAGTGGAGCATGGTGAGTGGAGCATGGTGAGTGGAGCATGGTGAGTGGAGCATGGTGTGGAGCAGGGTGAGTGGAGCATGGTGAGTGGAGCATGGTGAGTGGAGCATGGTGAGTGGCGCATGGTGAGTGGCGCATGGTGAGTGGAGCATGGTGAGTGGAGCATGGTGAGTGGAGCATGGTGACTGGAGCATGGTGAGTGGCGCATGGTGAGTGGAGCATGGTGAGTGGAGCATGGTGAGTGGAGCATGGTGAGTGGAGCATGGTGAGTGGGGCATGGTGAGTGGGGCATGGTGAGTGGAGCATGGTGAGTGGAGCATGGTGAGTGGAGCATGGTGATTGGAGCATGGTGAGTGGAGCATGGTGAGTGGAGCATGGTGAGTGGAGCATGGTGAGTGGAGCATGGTGAGTGGAGCATGGTGAGTGGAGCATGGTGATTGGAGCATGGTGAGTGGAGCATGGTGAGTGGAGCATGGTGAGTGGAGCATGGTGAGTGGAGCATGGTGAGTGGCGCATGGTGAGTGGAGCATGGTGAGTGGAGCATGGTGAGTGGAGCATGGTGAGTGGAGCATGGTGAGTGGAGCATGGTGAGTGGAGCATGGTGAGTGGAGCATGGTGAGTGGAGCATGGTGAGTGGAGCATGGTGAGTGGAGCATGGTGAGTGGAGCATGGTGAGTGGAGCATGGTGAGTGGAGCATGGTGAGTGGAGCATGGTGAGTGGAGCATGGTGAGTGGAGCATGGTGAGTGGAGCATGGTGAGTGGAGCATGGTGAGTGGAGCATGGTGAGTGGAGCATGGTGAGTGGAGCATGGTGACTGGAGCATGGTGAGTGGCGCATGGTGAGTGGAGCATGGTGAGTGGAGCATGGTGAGTGGAGCATGGTGAGTGGAGCATGGTGAGTGGGGCATGGTGAGTGGAGCATGGTGAGTGGAGCATGGTGAGTGGAGCATGGTGAGTGGAGCATGGTGAGTGGAGCATGGTGAGTGGAGCATGGTGAGTGGAGCATGGTGAGTGGAGCATGGTGACTGGAGCATGGTGAGTGGAGCATGGTGAGTGGAGCAGGGTGAGTGGAGCATGGTGAGTGGAGCATGGTGAGTGGAGCATGGTGAGTGGCGCATGGTGAGTGGCGCATGGTGAGTGGAGCATGGTGAGTGGAGCATGGTGAGTGGAGCATGGTGACTGGAGCATGGTGAGTGGCGCATGGTGAGTGGAGCATGGTGAGTGGAGCATGGTGAGTGGAGCATGGTGAGTGGAGCATGGTGAGTGGGGCATGGTGAGTGGGGCATGGTGAGTGGAGCATGGTGAGTGGAGCATGGTGAGTGGAGCATGGTGAGTGGAGCATGGTGAGTGGAGCATGGTGAGTGGAGCATGGTGAGTGGAGCATGGTGAGTGGAGCATGGTGAGTGGAGCATGGTGAGTGGAGCATGGTGAGTGGAGCATGGTGAGTGGAGCATGGTGAGTGGAGCATGGTGAGTGGAGCATGGTGAGTGGAGCATGGTGAGTGGAGCATGGTGAGTGGAGCATGGTGAGTGGAGCATGGTGAGTGGAGCATGGTGAGTGGAGCATGGTGAGTGGAGCATGGTGAGTGGAGCATGGTGAGTGGCGCATGGTGAGTGGCGCATGGTGAGTGGAGCATGGTGAGTGGAGCATGGTGAGTGGAGCATGGTGACTGGAGCATGGTGAGTGGCGCATGGTGAGTGGAGCATGGTGAGTGGAGCATGGTGAGTGGAGCATGGTGAGTGGAGCATGGTGAGTGGAGCATGGTGAGTGGAGCATGGTGAGTGGAGCATGGTGAGTGGAGCATGGTGAGTGGAGCATGGTGAGTGGCGCATTGTGAGTGGAGCATGGTGAGTGGAGCATGGTGAGTGGAGCATGGTGAGTGGAACATGGTGAGTGGAGCATGGTGAGTGGAGCATGGTGAGTGGAGCATGGTGAGTGGAGCATGGTGAGTGGAGCATGGTGAGTGGAGCATGGTGAGTGGAGCATGGTGAGTGGAGCATGGTGAGTGGAGCATGGTGAGTGGAGCATGGTGAGTGGAGCATGGTGAGTGGAGCATGGTGAGTGGAGCATGGTGAGTGGAGCATGGTGAGTGGAGCATGGTGAGTGGAGCATGGTGAGTGGAGCATGGTGAGTGGAGCATGGTGATTGGAGCATGGTGAGTGGAGCATGGTGAGTGGAGCATGGTGAGTGGAGCATGGTGAGTGGAGCATGGTGAGTGGCGCATGGTGAGTGGAGCATGGTGAGTGGAGCATGGTGAGTGGAGCATGGTGAGTGGAGCATGGTGAGTGGAGCATGGTGAGTGGAGCATGGTGAGTGGAGCATGGTGAGTGGAGCATGGTGAGTGGAGCATGGTGAGTGGAGCATGGTGAGTGGAGCATGGTGAGTGGAGCATGGTGAGTGGAGCATGGTGAGTGGAGCATGGTGAGTGGAGCATGGTGAGTGGAGCATGGTGAGTGGAGCATGGTGAGTGGAGCATGGTGAGTGGAGCATGGTGAGTGGAGCATGGTGAGTGGAGCATGGTGAGTGGAGCATGGTGAGTGGAGCATGGTGAGTGGAGCATGGTGAGTGGAGCATGGTGAGTGGAGCATGGTGAGTGGAGCATGGTGAGTGGAGCATGGTGAGTGGAGCATGGTGAGTGGAGCATGGTGAGTGGAGCATGGTGAGTGGAGCATGGTGAGTGGAGCATGGTGAGTGGAGCATGGTGAGTGGAGCATGGTGAGTGGAGCATGGTGAGTGGAGCATGGTGAGTGGAGCATGGTGAGTGGAGCATGGTGAGTGGAGCATGGTGAGTGGAGCATGGTGAGTGGAGCATGGTGAGTGGAGCATGGTGAGTGGAGCATGGTGAGTGGAGCATGGTGAGTGGAGCATGGTGAGTGGAGCATGGTGAGTGGAGCATGGTGAGTGGCGCATGGTGAGTGGCGCATGGTGAGTGGAGCATGGTGAGTGGAGCATGGTGAGTGGAGCATGGTGACTGGAGCATGGTGAGTGGCGCATGGTGAGTGGAGCATGGTGAGTGGAGCATGGTGAGTGGAGCATGGTGAGTGGAGCATGGTGAGTGGGGCATGGTGAGTGGAGCATGGTGAGTGGAGCATGGTGAGTGGAGCATGGTGAGTGGAGCATGGTGAGTGGAGCATGGTGAGTGGAGCATGGTGAGTGGAGCATGGTGAGTGGAGCATGGTGAGTGGAGCATGGTGAGTGGAGCATGGTGAGTGGAGCATGGTGAGTGGAGCAGGGTGAGTGGAGCATGGTGAGTGGAGCATGGTGAGTGGAGCATGGTGAGTGGCGCATGGTGAGTGGCGCATGGTGAGTGGAGCATGGTGAGTGGAGCATGGTGAGTGGAGCATGGTGACTGGAGCATGGTGAGTGGCGCATGGTGAGTGGAGCATGGTGAGTGGAGCATGGTGAGTGGAGCATGGTGAGTGGAGCATGGTGAGTGGGGCATGGTGAGTGGGGCATGGTGAGTGGAGCATGGTGAGTGGAGCATGGTGAGTGGAGCATGGTGAGTGGAGCATGGTGAGTGGAGCATGGTGAGTGGAGCATGGTGAGTGGAGCATGGTGAGTGGAGCATGGTGAGTGGAGCATGGTGAGTGGAGCATGGTGCGTGGAGCATGGTGAGTGGAGCATGGTGAGTGGAGCATGGTGAGTGGAGCATGGTGAGTGGAGCATGGTGAGTGGAGCATGGTGAGTGGAGCATGGTGAGTGGAGCATGGTGAGTGGAGCATGGTGAGTGGAGCATGGTGAGTGGAGCATGGTGAGTGGCGCATGGTGAGTGGCGCATGGTGAGTGGAGCATGGTGAGTGGAGCATGGTGAGTGGAGCATGGTGACTGGAGCATGGTGAGTGGCGCATGGTGAGTGGAGCATGGTGAGTGGAGCATGGTGAGTGGAGCATGGTGAGTGGAGCATGGTGAGTGGAGCATGGTGAGTGGAGCATGGTGAGTGGAGCATGGTGAGTGGAGCATGGTGAGTGGAGCATGGTGAGTGGCGCATTGTGAGTGGAGCATGGTGAGTGGAGCATGGTGAGTGGAGCATGGTGAGTGGAACATGGTGAGTGGAGCATGGTGAGTGGTACATTTTGAGTGCAAAACTGTGTGCGTGCATGCATAGGCATAGAGGGACAAGTCGTGTCTCGCTTGCCCTGGAGGCATGCCCTGGAGGTATGCCCTGGAGGCATGCTTCTAACCCACTGCTACAGGACTTGTTGACGGCACACACATGGGCTGCGCTGGCCTTGATTACGATGGAAATGTGAACCTGGTTAAGTGAATTCTCTTGTGCTTTTCAAATAGACGGCTAGAACAATCTGTGAATCAGAATTCGAATCAGAGGCTGCATAATCAGCTGCTGCTCTCCCCTCTGCTGGTGTGTCCAGATGTCACACAATCAGCTTTGCGCTCCCCACCACCCTGCTGCTATCTTCTCTCCATGCCACTGTCCCTCCCCTCCCTCCACGTCCTGCCCTGCCCTGCCCTGCCCTGGCAGGCGCGTCAGCAGCAGGCGGAGGCAGAGGCCAGAGAGAAGAGGGAGCGAGCTCAGCTGCAGAAGCAGGTGCAGTGCGGTGGAGCGGTGGAGCTGTGAATGGTGTACGGCACGCGGGATGTAGATGGTGTGTGTGTGGTGGACGGAGATGGGTGGCATGCTTGTGTCAGTGGCAGCGCAGATGGGTGACACCTGTAGGGGAGTACTGCAGGTGAAAGTAATGCCAAGTGCACCTACAGGTATGGAACATGGTTGGCATGTGATGCTCATCATCATCCTCACAACTGTGCTCAAACTTGCCCGAGCAATATAGGAGAGGGAGCAGGATAGGCAAGCATGCGCGTACGGCTCTGCTGCTTTCGCCTGGGCGCATATTGGCTGCTCTCTCCCCTCCCTCCCTCCCTCCCCCCCCCCTTCCTGCCTTCCTCCTCTCCTCCCTTCCTCCTTACGACCCCCTTCCCTCCCCCCACTTGTGTGCACGGGGCGCCGTGCCGGCAGGTGAAAGTGCGCATGCTGGTGGCGTCTCACAGGAGGTCACGTGCTGCACGCTTCCTCCTCTCTCCCTCCCACTCCATCTTCCTTTTCCCCCGTTATGTGCACCGGGCGCACTGCCCCAGGTGGACGCGCTCATGCTGCTGGCGCGCCTGAGGGAGCTGCGGCGCCTGCGAGGGCTGCGCGCTCGCAGACACGGTGAGTGATGGGACGGGGGGAGGAGGGTGAGGAGGGGGAGATAGAAGACTAGGTGAGCAGGGCAGGGAAAGGGGGAAGGGTAGTGGGGGGGATGATAGGCTCCTCACACGCGGATTGTACGCAGAAAGGTCTCTTATTGCTTGAACAATGAGGTTTAGCTTTTTGAAAGCTCGTCGAAGCTTCTTTCGAGATTGCGGTGAAGCGAAAGATCAGATAATGGATCAGGTAATGGATCAGGTAATGAATCAGGTAATGGATCAGGTAATGGATCAGGTAATGAATCAGGTAATGAATCAGGTAATGGATCAGGTAATGGATCAGGTACTAAATCAGGCATTGAATCAGGTAATGGATCAGAGTAATGGATCAGGTAATGAATCAGGTAATGAATCAGGTAATGGATCAGGTAATGAATCAGGTAATGAATCAGGTAATGAATCAGGTAATGGATCAGGTAATGAATCAGGTACTAAATCAGGCATTGAATCAGGTAATGGATCAGAGTAATGGATCAGGTAATGAATCAGGTAATGAATCAGGTAATGGATCAGGTAATGAATCAGGTAATGAATCAGGTAATGGATCAGGTAATGAATCAGGTACTAAATCAGGCATTGAATCAGGTAATGGATCAGAGTAATGGATCAGGTAATGAATCAGGTAATGAATCAGGTAATGGATCAGGTAATGAATCAGGTAATGAATCAGGTAATGAATCAGGTACTAAATCAGGCATTGAATCAGGTAATGGATCAGAGTAATGGATCAGGTAATGAATCAGGTAATGAATCAGGTAATGAATCAGGTAATGAATCAGGTAATGAATCAGGTAATGGATCAGAGTAATGGATCAGGTAATGAATCAGGTAATGAATCAGGTAATGAATCAGGTAATGAATCAGGTAATGAATCAGGTAATGGATCAGGTAATAAATCAGGTAATGGATCAGGTAATGGATCAGGCCAGGTAATGGATCAGGCCCTGTTACCAACGAAGACACCCTCGGGGGCTTGAGACGTGGCTTCCAAATTCTTCCAAAGGCTGCCTGGATTGGCCCCTGTTTTGGGGCTGATCTTGGTGAAGCTAGCCCAGGGAATCGTATCGTCAAAAGTAGAGATCTCTTGCGGCCACAACATGTTTGTCTTTGTGTGCGAACCACGGGGCAGTGAAGGTCTCCTCTTTACAGAACCTGCCTGTGAGAATCAGCTAGCATTTCTTCACAGTTTCTCTCTCCCCTTGCAAAACGCTCCATCACTGGTTGCCCTTGGCCAGTCCTCCCCAAGTCTTGGAACCTGGCCCTGGGAGAGGAGGACTGTGCTGCTGCTTTCCGCAGAGACAGACCCCGCCCCGCTGCTGTCCATTCTTTTCTCTCCCCCCTCGCCCTCCCCCGGTGTTCTCATGCCCTTCCGTGTGGTGGGTGGGAGCACCCTGGCAGGGCGGGTGGTGGAGGGCGACGAGGATGCGTTCATGCGTGCTGTGAGAGAGGCGGTGCAGGAGGAGGACAGAAAGGGTGTAGTGGCAGCACAAGACGAGGGGAGGGGAGAAGGGGAGGAGCAAGATGGATTGAGGGGAGAGGGAGACGAGCAAGAGGAGGGGAGGGGAGAGGGAGAGGAGCAGGAGACGAGGTGGGGTGTGGAGAGGGAAACAAGGTGCCCAGCGTTCGTACAGGAGCAATCAGCAGAGGAAGCAAGAGCCTCTGTGGGTGGTAGCAGTGGGGATGGGAGAGATGCGGGAGGCATGGAGGCATGCCAGGGCCAGAGCCACAGGGGCGACCGTGGAAGCAGGGAGAGGGGAGCACAGTCAGCGAGGGCAGGGGAGAGCGGGGGGAAAGAGGGCCTGCCCTCGTGTGACGGCTTGCCTGTGCTTTCCTCTGCTGCCGCTCACCACCTGTCCCTGCATGGCCTCGCAGCAGTGCGGCGCCAGTGGGACGCCTTCCTGCTGCCCCTGCCTTGCTCTGCCCCAACCCCTCACCCCCAAGTACCCCGGCGCCCTCTAGGCGCTCTCGTCCCTTCCACCTCTCACACCCCTCACACCCGTCAGCTCCTCGCAGCAACCTCCTTCATGCGTGAAGGTCTGCTTCCTTTCTCTGCACCTGCTGCTCCCGCTGCTGGCTCCGCTCCAGTTGCTGCTGCATCGCTGCCCTCAGGCGCGCATGCCGCAGGTGCGCATGCCCCAAGCGCGCATGCCCCGGGCGCGTCAGTGCCTCCATGCTGGGTGCCTGCCCCCCAACCCGCCACCTCCGAGTGGCGGCGCTATCTCCGCAAGAATGGCTGAGGCTTTGGCTCGTTGCTTTCTTTCTGATTTGGTATCACTGGAAGGAGAGGCTTCCTTTGGTGCTTGTTTTGCTTGCCCATCATACCGTATTTTGAAGTGCTTCATGAATCAGACAGCCACGATTAACTGGTCTGATTAGTCCGAGGCCAGGTTGGTTTGATAACCATCGGACAAATACCGTCATCGCCCGGATAGAAGTCATATATGTCTTATCTTATACATTAAAAAAAAATGCTTGTTGTGTCTTGTATCTGGGACGGTTTTGGGTGTCTTATCATTCCTATAAATAGACAAAAAATTATAAGAACCATGTAACATTTACAAAGTCTGTAGAAAGCACCCTCGGGGTGGATTTATTGAATTCGGCCACACATTGACGCGATTCATGCGCCGCCACCTCGTGCCACGTGATGGGACGCATCAATGCTGCTTGTGCTGGCAGAATCCCGCCCTGCTGGCAGCATCTCATGATGCTGCCAGTGTCGTTTTGCTGCCAGCAGCGAACAGAGCCTTCTAGAACGCTGCCAGCAGCACGATGGCAGCATGCTGCCATCCTGTGCTGTCCTCTACGAGTAAATCTGCCGTAGAGGAGCGGCTCGTCTTCCAAGGGAAGGGGCTCTCTGGAACGGGGGGGTAGTCGAGGTTGAGCTTCATTTTGAGCTCATGGAACTCAAAAGTAACTCAACCTTAGCTCTAAGCAGGCTCTATCATGCGTAGTAAGCACCCTGCAAGCGCGCCGCCTCCTCTCCCTAACCTCCAGGTTACCAACTTTGGGCGCATCAACCCGCTCGGTGACGATATCCGTGTAGACATGGCGAAAGAGAAGCGCCAACCGGCGGGATGCTCCAACGCCGGCTCAGGATCAAGTTGTGACGAGGACGAGGGCGACGAAGGCGAAGGCGACGAAGATCATGGCGACGAGGAGGAAGAGGATTGGCCGGAGAACGGTCACGACGACAGCGAATCTGGCGACGAGGTGCCAGCCGGAGGCCTCGACGATGACGAGTGGTGGATGCGGCCGATCAGCTCCGGCGACGATGTGGAAGAGTGGCGCGCCGGTGACGATGACGACGGCGGAGGCGCGGATGCGGTTGCTGATGCGGCGGCAGATGCGACGGTAGAAGCTCAGGTGGCGGCGACTGCAGATGTGTCTACGAGAGCGATGAGTGATGCGGTTGCGGATGCGAATGCAGATGCAGAGGCGGATGACGAAGCGGGAACGGATGCGGACGCGGATGCAGAGGCGGATGCCGAAGCAGGCGCAGATACGGCTGCTGTGCGGAGGCGGAAGCGGGTGACGGCCGTAACGCGGTCTTCTTCGAAGGCGAGGACGACGGGGACGACCCATGGCGCGTCTCCGACGATGACGACGTGCCTCTGTTGAAGAGGCGGCTGCGTCACCGCCTAGGTGGCGCCCGAAAATAAGCCCGGGTGGTGCTCTCGGACGAAGACAACCCTGCTGAGGAGCAGCGACCCCGCCTCTCCGCTGCTAACAAGGGGAAGGGTAAGGTGGTGGAGGTGCCTGCTAAGGTCGCCCCTCGCGTCCGCCCAAGTAAGAAGAAGCGCAAGGATGATGGCGACCCGGGTTCAAGCAAAGGCACGAAGAAGCAGAAGAAGGCCGGGAAGAGCAAAGACGACATCCTGGTCAACGCTCGGCAGTGACGACGAATACGCGGAGGCTGCAGGCCCCATGCCTTCGTTCCCTGAAAAGGCGAAGCTAAAAGACCCCACCATCCGTAATGCTAACTCCCGCCCCCCTTCCCCACGCAGTCGCGGGATTAAGAGGACCAGGCGGTCCTGGTCCGTGCACGAAAAGGTCAAGTGGGAGCGTCGCTATGCGGAGCTCGACTCCCTCAAGAAGACATTGGCCGAGTCTTCGGCCAGCATCGCATGCATCAGACGCTGGAGCGCGCAGGCTGCAGCGGGCATGTACAAGGGCGCTACAAATTTACGCAAGCGCATGCATGGGGCGGGCCGCCACTCACACCACCCCGACATGGAGGCAGCGCTGTACCGCTACATCTGCCTGCATCGCGCGAATGGGGTGGCGATCTCGGTCAAAGACACTCAGAAGTGGAGCCGCGAGTGGATGAAGAAACACCACCCTGGGAAGAACTGGAACGCGAGCTCACACTGGAGCCAACGTTTCCGTGACCGCTGGAACCTCGTCATGCGGGTGAAGACAAAGGTTGGCCAGCGGTTGTCGGCTGGTGAGTGGTTCAATACTTGAAATCACTGTGGAATGTCAACTCTCTGTGCATTTCCCGTTAAAAACCTGCACATCCCGACTCATCCCTTCCTTGTCTGTGCTTTTTTGTCTTCGCAGAGTGCGCAAAAGACTGCGAGTCTTTTTGGAAGTTTGCGAGAATCAACAGGGCGCGGCACAACATAGACCTAAGCCGCTTCATCATTGCGGACCAGACGCCACTCTTCGTTGAGATGCCGGCCGAGAGGACCCTTGACCACCGTGGTGCGCGCTCAGTCCCGATCCGCACGGCAGGCTACGAGAAGACGCGGCTGGCAGTGATGCTCGCGTGCACGGCATCCGGGGAGAAGTTGCGCCCGTGGGTGTGGTTCAAGATGAAGAACGTGCCGAAATGTGACGTCCCCGCAGGTGAGCAACCCGAATTTGGGATGGATAGAGTGTTGGGTTGGCCCTGTTTGGCTGACGCCCCTATCTCTCTCTGTGCCTGGCAGGAGTGGTGGTCCAAGCACAGGACAACGGGTGGATGGACGAGACCGCTGTGCAGACTTGGCTCACAAAGGAGGTGCTGCCCCATCTCAACCCCCGGCGCGGCCAGAGCACGAAGCGTGTGATGCTGGTGCTAGACTCGTACCGCGGCCACATCACCCAAGGCATGCTTCGCGCCTATCGCACGCACAGCATCACCCTCGCTGTAATCCCTGCAGGTTGCACCAGTCAAATTCAACCACTTGACGTTTCCATTAACCGGTGCTTCAAGGCCGGGGTGCGTCCTCGCTACGCTAGGTGGTTCATGCGTGAAGGCCTTTACCTGAAGACGAAGCACGGTGAGTCCACGGTCGGTGATCACTTTGATCCATCCCCGTTACTTCTTGATGTACGGTATCTAACGGCACGCTGCCCTTGCCTCTGACCCACCCGCAGGGAACTTGAGGAGACCCCCGCATCCCGTGGTGCTGCAGTGGATAGCGGAGGCGTGGGATCAAGTCCCTAGGCAGGTGATCATTGACGCGTTCCGCCACTGCGGCATCTCAAGAAAGCTGGATGGGACCGAGAACCATCTGGTGATGTCCCACCTGCGCACGAGGAACACCACCGATGTCACCGAAGACATGTGCCTCGGGGGCACCACGGGCGACAACATGCGTCTGCTTGGGAAGGCTCCCGAGGAGGAGGAGGAGGAGGAGGAGGAGGAGATGCAGGCGGAGGGCGTGAGGGAGGTGGCCGTGGCCACCGGCCTGGAGGTGCTGTGCCAGGAGACCCCCCACTACCGGGGAGCGGCGGCCGAGGCTGACCGCATGATCGAGCCCGTGCAGACGGCCAGGCATGCCTGGCGAGTGCCAGACTTGGGGATGCAGGAGCCAGCATCTGCTAGTGCAGATGAGGAGGGCGTAACCGAGGGGGGCTAGGTAGAAATAGTAAGATTGGATAATTGCATGCATGTACTCCCCCACCCCTGAATGCAAGAACCGATTTTAAGACACCCACCCCCTTTATAAGAAAACCCTGAACCCTAGAACTGTTTAGTAGACACTGTCTTAAGTCGTACACGCATGGAGGTGGCTTATAATCGGAAGCACCCAACTATAAGATACACCCGTATTAAAGACACCCCCTGTCTTCAATTCGACACTGTCTTCTATCCGGGCGATGACGGTATGTGTACTCGAACGAATCAAGCCCTTCCGCCCCCACTCACCTTCCCCACCTCCCCTCACCTAGTCCTTTGCAGCTCCTGTTACCCACCCTTCCAATCCAATCCATTGCGCGCCCAACAGCCCACCCCCCCAGTCACCCGTGCCCCACAACCCAACCATCAAATTATTCTCGCTCGATCCACTACCCTCCATCCCACTCACTCGCACACCTCATCACCTCTCATCCGTTGCCCAGGATCTGTCACTCCGAGAGCTTCCGACGAAGACATTTCTCAACTAAACACAAGAATGCTTGGTCGGATCCCCGCTTGCCACATGCCCACCTAACTCTTTTGCTGCACCGCCACCACCAGCCTTGTCCGCAGATGCCTCCTCTTGCGCCTCGTGGCCATTCACAGCACTGGCACCCGAAGCACCCTCCTAAGCCGCATCGCATGACAACGCCTCATACTCGCCTTTTTTTTATTTATTTAAATTTTGAGAGAGGTGGGTGAGGTGTGACAATGAAGGTAATTTTTATTTTTTATTTTACTTAGCCTATGAGGGTGTGTCAAACATATTTGTAGTGAGGTTAGCTATAAGGGGGTACAACACTTTTAGGGTTCCTATTGTCAGATGTTATATTCTTAGTGATGTGTGTCATATGGGGTATAACAGTAAGGGTTAGGTTAATGTACCCCAACCAACCTTAGTGAAATCATCACTACGTTCTGGACATGGTATCACCTAGGTTAGGATCCTGTGGGATCCCGTTCCTCTCGTTCACGTCCGTAGCGCCCGAGCCTGTTCTGTACCCTAGTGCCCGTTACGCCCGTACTGTCCCCTAGCGCCTATCGTGCTCTTCTCTCTCGTGCCCTAGCGCTCGCTGCGCTTGCCGTCGTGTCGCCCCTGCTGTCCCGTCCCGTCGCGTTGCCCCTACTATCCCGTCGCCCCTGCTGTCCCGTCGCCCCTGCTGTCTCGTCGCCCCTGCTGTCCCGTCGCGTCGCCCCTGCTGTCCTGTCCTGTCGCTCCGTCCTGTCGCGTCGCGTCCATCCCGTCCCGTCGCATGCGCCGCGCCTGTCCGTCCTGCTGCGTCGCGTCGTCCGTCCCATCCTGTCCCGCCGCGTCGCGCTGCCCGTCTGCGTCGCGCTACCCGTCCCGTCCCGCCGAATCGCGCCTGCCCGTCTTGTCCGGTCGCGTCGCGCTGCCCGTCCCGTCACGTCGTGCTACCCCTGCCCGTAGCGCCGCGCCCTTGTAGTCGCGCCGTGTCGCGCCCTACCCCGCATCTTGTAGCGCCCTACGCCTCCAACTCTGCCAGTCACGCCCTACAAAGCCGCTCTAAGTGTTTAGGGTTTCGGCAGCAGCACTTCCCACCTCTTTGCTTCCGCTATGGCGACCCCTAGGGTCCTGTGCTTTGACGCCGAGGGTAGGCCGCTTGAGTTCTCGGTCTGGCTCCTACGTGCGCGCTGCCTTTTAGAGAGTCAGATTCAAGCAGATGAGTCTCTGTGGGCGCACGCTTGCGGTGACCTTCCTAAGCCCGACGACCCTGCACCCTTAGGCGCTGACCCAAGCAGTGCAGACAGAGACTGTTATGCCCGCCAGCATGCTGACCTGACAGCATGGAAGTCGCGTGACGCTGCGGCCTGCATTGCCCTCAGCAGCCTCCTCCTTGAGTCTGAGGAGGCCCACTTCACCAGGTTTGCACGGCTAGTGAGTTCCTAACTGCAATCCAGGCCCGCTACGCTACTCCCACCACTGTCTTTCTTGGTCACGTGTTCCTCCCGTTCCTGTTTCCTGACCTCGCCTCGTTTGAGCACTCTGTTGACTTGATCCCTCACCTACGCTTGCTCGATTCTAGCTACCGCGCTGCCTGCACTGACGCACAGCTTGCACTGCTCCTTCCCCCTATGGCAACCGCCTTGCATCGGTTCGTGACGCGCTTCTTCTGAAGCACCCTAGCGAGCTCACTATCGAGGTCCTTGAGTCTGCCTTCAAGGACGTCGAGAGCAACCTCCGATCGGTAGCCTCTGCCTCTGGTGCTGTGCCCCCTCCACCGTTTCACGGGTGCACTGTCCCTCAGTTGCCCACCTTCACTTCCTCCCTCGCCACTGCCGCTACTGACGTGACCGCAGGTGCTGTTACGACTTCTTCACGGTCCAGGGGTAGGAGTGGCAGGAGGGGCGGTCAGGGTGCGGGCGGAGGCGGTGGAGGCGGCGGAGGTGGCATGGCAAGCTGTGGTGGCGGGAGTACAGAGGTTGGAGGAGCCACTCGTGCAGCGGCTAGTGACTCCCCTGCTGCAGCTGGTGGAGGTGACGATCGGGTTCGTCATGGACCTGCTGGTCCACCAGTTGCAGGTGCTGGAGTGGCGGCTTGGTACCTGACTCAGTGGCAGCAGCAGCAGCAGCAGCCACAGCAGCAGTAGCGGCAGCAGCAGACTCCAGGGCAGGGGTCGGGACCGTGTCAGCCGTCGCGTGGTGCCGTCCACCCTCCCTGCACCTATCTCGTTCAGACAGGTGCTCGCCGAGGCCTCCCTTCTTGCCGCACCCACCCACCAGGTCAGTGCTTTGCTCAGCTCACTGACACACTTCGTGCGGCCTACGGCGTTGGCGTCCCTGCCCCTGACTAGCTTCCCCTTGTTCAGACGTACGCCCCCACTCTGTGGGGCATGTCGGCTTCTCAGTTGCTTGATCTTTTAGGGACTCTTCATGCTATGTATGCTGTTGTTGACTCTAGTGCTTTTGACTCTGTTTACACGAATGTTGTTAGCTTAGGTGCTAGTGGTGCTGAGGTGCCTGTTGCTAGCTAAGGTACTTGTGTAGAAACTAGTCTAGGAGCTGCTCCGGAGGACACTTCGCTGTCTTTCACTCTGGACTCCAAAGCTCAGCACTGTTTCTTCCACGACCACACGACGCTTACTCTGCTTCCTGCGCCGGTCTCAGTAGCACTGGCAGATCCCACTTCGGGACCAGTCACTGCTCGCTACACTACTACGCTCTCGTGCCCAGTAGTTCCTTCGGGTTTCCTGTTAGGCTTCCACGTCCCCTCGTTCTCCTGGAACTTGGTGGGTGTGAGGCCGCTCGTGGATAGTTTCGTGGGTGTGTAGATTGAGCCTTCTGGCGAGACTGCGGTTTGTGTCGACGGGGACACGAACGTGCCTCTGGCTACCTTGACCACTGAGCTGGGCTCTGGTCTCTACACACTTCACACTGGCCCCCGAGGGCAGCAGCAACACCTTTTGCAGCAGCAGCAGCAGCAGCAGCAGCAGCAGTAGGAGCAGCAGCAGGAGCAGCCACAGCAGCAGTAGCTACTGCCCCCGACCACTGTCACTGCCCCCTGTCAGGTTCCCCCGTCTCACCAGGTTGCCGTGTCTCACCAGGTAGGTGTGTCTGGTCAGGTTCCCGTGTCTGGTCCAGTTGCTGCATCTTGCTCCTGCCGGTCGCTTGCTCACCCCACCGTTCTGTGGCACCACTGCTTGTGGCACCCGTCCATTCCTCGCCTGCACGCTATGTCTAGTCAGCGTCTTGTCTTAGGCCTCCCGCGAGTCTTGCCGACGCTGCCGCCTTGGCTTGCACCACCTTGCGGTCGCTGCGTCGAAGGTCGGCTGTACGCCACCCCTCACTCCTCCTCCCTTCGTCCGGCCACCGAGCCCTTCGAGACTCTCCACTTGGACGTCTGGGGCCCCGCCGCTCGCCTTGGCCCTGAGCGAGAGAGTTTTTTTCTGATGGTCATTGACGACTACTCCTGCTACACCACAGTGTTCCCCTTGGCGAAGAAATCACACATGACTTACCACTACGGACACTCGTGGTCGTCGTGTCAGCTGTCTTCACTCCGATCGCGGGGGTGAGTTTCGCTCCGGCGTTCTCTCTGGATTATGTCGCGGATAGGGCATTCGTCAGTCCTAGATGCTTCCAGAGTCCCCACAGTAGAATGGGGTTGCTGAGCGCCGCATAGGCTTGGTCATGGAGATTGCCCGCACCTCCTTGACTCACGCTCGTGCCCCCCATTTTTTGTGGCCCTACGCGGTTTGGTACGCCGCTCACCAGCTGAACCTCTGGCCCCGTGTCTCTCGGCGGGTCTTCAGACCAGGTCCCCTGGTGCTGCATCGCGTTTTCGTGTCTGGGGTTGCTTGGCACTTGTTTGCGAAACCTCCGCGGACAAGATCTCGCCTCGTGCCATTCCCTGTGTCTTCCTTGGCTTCCTAGAGGACTCTTCTGACTTCACCTTTTACCACCCTCCCCTTCACCGGTTCTTTTTCTCCCGTGACGTCCGTTTCAACGAGTTCGTCCCCTACTAGGTCCGGTACCCCTGTCGAGGTCTCCCGGTTCCCCCTCCCCCTCTCTTCTTGACTTCAGCTCCCCCTCCTGCTCCCCCGGTACAGCCTCCCCCCCCTGGTCCAGCCCCGTCAGGTGTGTCCCACGCTACCCCTCCCCCCTCGGTAGCCCATCAGGTGTAGCCTCATTCCCCGCAGTCCTCCTCACAGCCTACTGCAGACCCTGCGGGAGCCGGTGTTCGTGGCGAGGACCCTAGAGGTGCTAGCTCTAGAGGAGTTAGAGTGTACCTGTGCAAGGTCCTGATACTGTGGGTGCTGGAGTGGAGGCTGAGCTCTTGCCTGCAGGAGCCTCTAGTCCTCGGGGAGCTGGTGTTAGTCGAGCTGTCCCTGGAGGTGCTACGACTAAGGGTGCGGGTGCACCCACTGCGGCACCTGGAGAGTCTGGGACTGGCTGCGTTGCTGGTGGTGGTGCTAACTCTGAGGGTGGTGCGACCGATGC